AATTTTTATTCTTATGGAACAAATTATAAATTCATTTAGTGGTTGAGAAATTGATCTCAAACCCACTGGAGCTTTTTGTTTCCTTGTTTGTTTTCTCCTTGAGAAAGAGTCTTGCTCTGTCATCCTGGCTAGAATGCAATTGTGTGGTCATAGCTCACTGCAACTTTAAACTCTCAACTTTTGGTTTCAAGTAATCATTTTGCCTCAGCCTCCCAAGTAGCTGGGAGTACAGGCTCAGACCACCTTCTCATCTAATGCTGTTGCTCAGGCTGGTCTCCAGCTCCTGACCTCAAGCAACCCTCCTGCCTCAGCCTCCCAGAATGCTGTGATTACACCTTGATCCACCTCGCCCAGCCCCATTTTAGCTTTTTAATGGTGGACTCAAACTTGATAACTCTATGAAATAATCATAATATATAAAGGTGTGATTTTTTTAGGATGAAGGTGTGGCTTTTTATTGTTTATGGAGGTTGATGATCCCAGAATTATGGCATAGTACAATGAGTCTGTGATACAGTCAAGTGGAAATAACTTTTAGAGAAGCCAGAACTTGAGTCCTGGCTTTGCTACTATGTAACCTTGGTCAGCCATGGGCCTAGGATGGCCTCAGTTTTTTCACATATAAAAGGATGGTGAACCATTTTCATGTTGTAGCTTATGTAAAATAATGTACACTCAATTTCTTACTCCAGTAGCTGACGAATAATGTGGTAGCTACTGCAATGATTTTTCTCCTTCTTGAGCTCAGAATTTCTAACATTGTTTCCGTGGACGCTAAGTAATTAATGTTTTCTGATTAGGTAAGTGGAGGAAGAAATGTTATTTTTAGTCTTCCAGATTAGTTATATTTTGCCAAAAATTCAGAATCTATATAATTTTTTTCTGGCCCATATAAAAGTGAAATAAGTTAGATATCAACATAGTCAGTTCTAATTTCCTATATTTGTTCACAGAAATGCTTGTTTAGCGATCCTCTTGGAATAAAGCCTCTAAACCCAGTATCTTTCGTCTATGATGCCTTCATTTCCTTCCGTGAATTAGATAGTAGCTCTAATGAGACGTGATTTGGAATAAAACATACTTTAATTCATAAGCCACCTTCTTTCTGTACAGCCATAGTCAGAGTCATGAAAGTTTATTAGAAAATTATCAACACAAGTATCAGGAAGATTTGATTAAACACTATTTTACTAGCATTTCCCCAAACAGAATGCAAAGACAGAGATGCATTTTAAACATCAATCGTAGCATGTGTAACAATCAATGCGATTCAATGGGATATCCCCATTAGAATGGCATTTTCATATGCACTGTGTCATGTACCATATTTATAATTAAAAGAAAAAATTCATTGTATATGATATGGGGCCCATTAATTTCCCAGTGCTTGGATGAAAATTAATTGAATAATTCTCTATTTATTTTGCAGTTCAGGAAAATTTAGAAGTCACATTTCACATGTATGTATTCTGCATTATGTTTAAAATTTAATAAAATGTATTTTAATGTATCCTATAAATAAGCACTCTGCAATGGTACCTTGTTTGTGTAGTTGAATAAGACAGGGCTGAAAATTGTGGTTAAGCTCAGTTATTCTTTGATTCAGAATGAGAATAAAGCATCATTTTTGCATGACAAAAATGTATCATAATTTTAGGACATCCTCATTCTCTCTCACTCCTTCAAGAACCAATTAGATATTTATACACATATTTACTGGAAAGAGTTAAGAACAAAACAGAAACTAGGCAGATAGGAAAGCATGGTGAAAATAAAAATGGACAAGCAATTTTTAAAAGACACATATCAATAGGCAGTCGACCAAAGGAGTTCCTTACAAAATACGTGTGCTTGATGACTGACATGCAGAGCAGAAATTTCAGCTACGTTAAATTCTAATCTTTACTTTCATGATATATTTGAGAGACCACAATTGTGAAAGGTGAGGACAATTCTATTTGGACTCTAAAACCCTGTATTAAAATCTCAAATTGGCACCCAGTGACAGCATTGCCTGTGAAGTGATCACTTTAGGATTTTGAACTGCTTTGTTTTTACATGTCACCAGAATTCTTATGCTTTTTATCTATTTTTTTTTCCCTTTCTCTCACCTGAATCCTCTTCCCTGAGATTAGGGCTGATGGGTTTGTGGCACCTGATCTACTTTGCTGGGAACTGTCCTACTCTAGTGAGGAGAAGGAGCCATCCCCAGGCCACGCTTTGGCATGCTAGTCTGGGAGACTGCCCTGGAAGGGAAGGGCGGGTGCACCGAGAGCCTGTGAGCAGGTGTCTGTTTTGTCTCAGTTCCAGCCAGAGCTGGATGATCTTCCCATGGAGTGGTGGGTTGTTCCCCAGGCTGCCGTTGGGAGGTCAGCCTAAAGGGAAAGGCCTTTTTCACAGATGCCTATGTTATAGGATCTTTCTCTGCCTGGGTGTCCCCCATGGAGGTAATAGTGGTAGCTGGATGAGGCTATCTTGGCAGTGTTGTGGGTGTGGTGTCCAAGATGTTGGCATTTGCTCCAACTAGGTTCACTTGTGATGGTGGCTCAAGGTTGGCAAGTTCCTGTCAGAGCATTGGACAGGGGAAAGTTCTCATCAAGCTATGGTGTTAGACGGCATGGGGAGGCTGGGGCCAGATCAAGGGCAGCAGCAGCGTGGGGTGGAGCCTGAGCCCAAAGATGGCACTTGAGCTGAGGGGTCAGAGCTGTGGGCTTAGGAGCAGTGGGAACCTTGGAGCCTGCACAGGACCCAAGAGGCAAGGCAGAAGCTTCACAGACTGGGGCTCAAAGTGTGAGAATAGCATGAGGAACACAGAGGTGGAGCCATGTGGGACCTGGTGGCATTGTGGATATGGAACTGAGCCTGCTGGAGTGGGGCCACTGGATGGCTAGGGGTAGCCCACTGACCTCGTCCCACGAAGTCAGCCACTGCAAGTCCACACAGGTGGGCATTTGTCACACCCATTCTGCATTCTGTTCTGCGGGAGGGATGCTCAGCTCTCAGGCACAGAGCATAGGATGGGAGAACTTCCACTTTCCCTACTCTCTCCCCAACCCAGTGGGGGTGATGTGGAGGTGGCCGCAGCAAACCCAGCCACTTGTACATCTGGTTTCCTGCACCTGAGAGTTTGTATGCTGTCAATCACAGAAATTGGAGTGGAAGCCTTCAGGTGCCTGCTGCACCTGCTTTCTAGTATAATTTCACTTCCCAGATTCTAAACTGTTTCTGATCAGTTCACTGGTTAGGGCCCCGTGCCTGTCCTGGGGATGGTGGGAGCATGTGGAGCCCCAGGACTCTTTCTTCCTGTCCTCCCCCAGGTACCATTTAGTCTTGTAGAATAAATGACCTATTGCCTTCTCCTGCACTTTGAATGACCCCCGTCCTCTCTGCAGTGATTCACAGTGTTCTTCCCAAGTTAGCCCTGAAAGGCCGGCACTCCACTGGCAGAGATCTCACAGACCGACAAGGCTTGTATGAAAGGTCTTTCTTGGTCGGGGAGGGATGCTGCAGAGCAGCACCAAGGAGGAGAGAAAAGAGGAGAGAGAGACCAAAAGAAAAGTGCACCCTTACATAGGTTCAGCTAGGGAAAGTCTCAGAATGGAGACAGGGTGATAAGGGAACGTCTCGGAATGGAGACAGGATGGTAGACTCTCCAATAAGGAGTTACATTTCTGTCAGGAAGAGCCGTTGGGGGCAGGCCATAACTTTGAATTTTCAGTGGCTAATTGAGACAGAGCGATGAGGTAAGTTTTACAACTGGGAGATAAGGAGATGTCTAGCAGGCAACTCCTTGTTATTCAGAGGGCAACTCCCTACGCTTGGAAAGAGGCTCTAACTTTAGGAGTGAGACAGCTAGTCTTGGTCTGTTGAAAGCAGGAAGGGGCGTTCTGAGGAAGGGGCTTTTCTAAGGCAATCACCTAACAAGCCCATCCATAAGTACACAGCCACTTGTAATTTTCAGTACTCTCCGTAATGTGATGTGTGTGGTGCTTTGAGCCCACCATCCTGCTGCCTTTCTGATGGTTGTGTCTTTTGAACACTAACTTCTATAAGCAATTAGTTATTATTGGGTGGTATTTATTTTACAGTAGTTTTGGAAACTGTCATACTTACAATATATTAAAGAAATAGTTGTGCAGGGTTTTTGACATTAATATATAAAATAACATGCCCCAAGACTTTGCTGGCGTAGTGAACAGGTAAGTTGAGACATTGACAGCATAGTAAATTTGACAAACAATAATTGTTAAAAATACCAGGCACAATCAAACAATGGGCAACTTGACGATGTTTGTTTCACAAAAGGAATATGAAATACTAAAACAAAAAGAAACAAAAAGGCCAATGACAAACAAGTTTGGATTGTGAACAAGGTACATTTACCTTCAGAATCGTGTCTGTTCTGTCCGCACTATTCCAAACATTCTAATGCAATAGAGTAATTGCTGACATAAAGGACTTGAAACGTATTAGTAAGAAAGGTGGCCTTGCAGGACAAATTGAAATGTAAGCATAAATCATCCACTTTCTAGTTAGTAGTATTTAAATATTAGATGATAAATGATCATCACATTTTTTTTATTTAAATTCAGCCAATAATTGGGTGCAAACATGATCGTTCCCACCTCATACACAGGAACATTAAGGAAAGTCATTCCATGGACTTAGAAAACTTCCGTGGCACCAGTAGTCTGTCTTCATGACTTTTAAACAGGTATAAAAATAGGCCATAGTAAATTTGAAAGAAAAATGAACTGAACATTGAATCAATAAAACTGGTGCTTACATTTAACAAGGTGAATTTAGCCAACAAGTGAATGAATTAATTTTTTCAATTTTGTCAAACAGAGTATTTCTTCCAGTTGGAGCCAACTTCTTCATCACTACTTATCCTTTCTCTGAAAAGGGTTTCATTTTTCCTTTCAAGAAACAAACCTGAGGGTATAATTGGATGAACACAATTTACATGGGATATTGCTCTTAGAACCGAGAAGCAACAAATGCCAGCTTTGCCTTCAGCTATGGATTTACATGTGGAGAATCCATTGGAAAACGTGACTGAAGTCACCATGTTTATACTGATGGGCTTCACAGATGATTTTGAGCTGCAAGTCTTCCTGTTTTTATTGTTTTTGGCAATCTATCTGTTCACTCTGGTAGGAAATTTGGGACTGGTCGTACTGGTCATTGCGGATTCCCGGCTCCACAACCCCATGTACTACTTTCTGAGTGCTTTATCATTCTTGGATGCCTGCTATTCTACTGTTGTCAGCCCCAAAATGCTTGTCAATTTCCTGGCAGAGAACAAAGCCATTTCACTTGTTGGCTGTGCAGCACAGTTGTTTCTCTTTGGTACTTTTGGGACCACGGAATGCTTTCTGTTGGCGGCGATGGCTTATGACCGCTATGTAGCCATCTATAACCCTCTCCTGTATGTGGTGAGCATGTCACCCAGAGTCTACGTGCCACTCATCACCGGCTCCTATGTCTGTGGCATTCTGCATGCTACTGTACACACTGTGGCTACGTTCAGCCTCTCCTTCTGTGGATCCAATGAAATTAGACATTTCTTTTGTGACATC